CACTCTTTATGATAACAGGAAATATTCATTTACATAATAAGCTTCGTAGAGTGTGATGTTCCACCATCCAATTATTGAATGGTAGGAAGGCTTATTATATAAAATGTTTTAGGCTGGCTTGGCTATTCATAATACTAACAAAAATGCATATTGATAGTTTGGTTGTAGTTAATTCATAAAAGCCATGATGAATATTATAAAAGGGTCACAGATCAGAGCCAAAGAATAAAAGGAGTCTCCGTGGTTACTAATAAATTGCTCTGTGAATGCTTGGCCACCCTTGCAGGTAATGATGTCACGAAATGATGAAAGAATAGCTAAGCAGCCAACAAAGTGCCCATGCTTGGCAGAGGTACGGATCATTGCGTCACTCCTGGCTTAGAGCCCCTGAAAGGGAACAAGGCCATTAAAGCGAAACGAAAAATCGAAGGATGCGAGTTTCCACAGAGAGCACTTTCCTTACAACGAGATTCGATCAACACTTGAACTCTTAGAACAGGTAAAGACAGCACTAGAGAAAAGACAGGTATAGTGTAGCCATGCAACCACGCTGGTTGACAGACAGTACACACCCGCGCTTCCACATCTTGGCTGTGGTTATATCTATGAACGTAACTCAGATTTTTTTTTTAATAGTTCCAATGGATTTTCTGAGCAGGTGGACCAAAGATACTGTATTTCAATACACTACTAGCACAATCATTAGGAAATGATCTAAAAAAAGAGCAAGAAAGCTAGAAGGGAGGGATTTAGAAGCCTATGTACAAAAAAAAAAAATACAGATTGCGTAACTCGATGACATACAATTTTATATCATGGCAGAACTATTTATAGTGACGGGAAGCCGATTTGTGGTTTCCTTGGACCAAGGGCGGTGGGGATACAGGGACAGCAAGAGCACGAGAGAATGTTTGGGGAAAGCGAGCATCCTATGTCTTGACTAGGATGGTGGCCACACAAGGCTACACACAACCCAAAACTCATCCAACTGCACATTTTAAATAGGTGCCTTTTACTGTGTGAAAATCACACTTCAGGGAAAGTGATTTACAAAGTGGTCGTACAGGATATTTCCATGTTTAACTTGGGTAAAGGGTATGAGAACTCTCTTTTGTATTATTTCTTACAATTGGATATGGATTTGCAATTGTCTCAAAATACTTAAATTTTAAAATACATGGATATATAACAGTGATCATGTGTTATCCAAAAAATTAATAATATAAAAGAATTTACTCATTCTGATCAAATGATTCATATGAGTTCAATATCATGTAATCCTGAATTCTACTTTTGATACGTTCAACTCTGCTTGAAAGTTATTAAATACTATCTAGTCTTCTGGGATTTGTTTTGCCCTAAATTAATCCTAAAATGGAATCAGTAAGTTAATTATTCACTGCTTCACTCATTTCTGGGAAAGGAATGTCACAAACACTCTGAAGTTATTCTCTATTAATGAAATACACCATTATTATTTATGGTGGGCATCACACATTAAAATCAAAGCCTTAGAGAAAGTACTAGAAAAAAGTATGTGTGACTCGAAGTCCATCTCAGGATCAGAGAGGTCTTTGGTAATAGATTTTTTTAAAAGATGTTTTTGGTTATTTGTTGTTTTTTTTTTTTAAATTTTATGAATGATAGAAGAAATAGGGTTTACCAACAGGGCTATGAAGCAGATAGTTGGTCTTACCATTTTTAGAATAATTAATCACATATTCTAGTTAGTAGTGTAAGTTTCGATCTATTACTAAGTTTTGCTTTTAAAGGTTCCTAAGCTCAAACATCTCTGAAGTCCAGGTGGTTAACATAAATGAGGTCACCCAGATATGAGGCTCTGCATGGGGGCGCATACGGTCCCAACCTGAACAGTGAAACTGCTCTGAAGAGTAATTGGTACCCTGAGTTGTTAGCCAGTTGTTGCCATGGGGGATCATGAACACAGGGCCACACTATCTGCTGATTAAGAGAAGCTGCAGATTTAAAGAAAGAGAGAGAGAGGTGAAAACTCTTCTTGAAAATTAAACCAAAAAGCCTGATTAAAACCAGTTTGTGATATCACCTTTACCAACAACTAAAGAATGCTTCCTACCAAAAATTCCCTAGAATGGCTATGTCTATGAACTTGCTTCTGAATTCATCATTCTACTGCCTTCTCCCAACTTCATTCATTTTCACTTCGGCTAAAAACACTTTCTCATAGGACTGACAATTGCCGAGAACTGGCAGATTCTCAAGGCTTACGTTTTCGCCTGTTTGCCAAATGGCTGTAATGTAATTCACAAAAGCCCTGTTTATTGAGTAATATTATTAATGGCTAGCATAATACTGTGAAATTGAAGACATTCTTTTTGGATTATGTCCAGATCCTTAAAAGAACATTGGTTCCAATAGGAAATGAATGCCTTATCTTAAAACATTATTTTAAAAGGAGGACAATGTAAAAAAGCACTTGAATAAGTATATTTTCAAATGATTGTAAGACAACTTTTTTCAGATACATTAAGTCCCCCGTGTATTAGAATACTTTGAATGATAAAAAGAGATGCCATGCTTATGAATGTTTTATAAAATCATTTTTCATTTTCAACACCTTGTTGAAAATATAGGACTGAGAAATCATTCAACTTAACAGTCTATTGACTTTTTCCCTTCAGCTGCATTTGCCAAATTTTGCTACAGTGGAAGATATTTGTTGCTTTTATATTTATGGCTAAATTTGTAAATTATCAAAATAGGTCAAACAGGAAAAAACCAAAAAAGTCAACTTTGCATTTTCAAAAGGCACCTAATATCTCCATAAGAAGCATTAAAATGTATGCTCCACCTAAATTAGAGTTAATTATTTCACTAGTTCACAATCTAACAGTCACCACCTGAGACCAAGCCTGAAAATCCCAACATGGCTTCTGAAACCAATCGTGAGCTCTGATTCATTTAATGGCTCTATTTTTAAGGGGAAGCATGAAATCATCCAAGAATCATAAAATATTAATCACTTAAATGGGAGCAATTAAAGAGAGAGAAAAGAGAAAAAAAGGGACAGTGCACCAAGAGGAAGGGGGGCGGGTGGCGACTGACTAGTCAAAATAGAACGAGAGAAGGTCAGAAAACAACGTGTCATATCAAACTATTAGCCAGTGTTAGGCTTACTTTAAATTACAGCTAACATACCATACTATACTAGTTTCAGGTGCACGACATACTACTGAGACATGGAGCTTACCCAGCGATCCCCCAGTAAGTCTAGTACTCACTGACACTATACGTAGTTACTACACTATTACCATCTATATCCCCGATCCTGTGCGTTATATCCTGTGACAATTTTTATAATTGGCAACTTGTACCTTTTAATCTCTTCTTTTTCACTCATTCCTCACAATCCCCCTCCCATCTGGTAACCATCAATTTGTTCTCTGGATCTATGAGTTTGTTTCTGTTCTGTTTGTTCACTTGTGTTTTTTTTAGATTCCAAATGTAAATGAAGTCATACAATGTTCGTCTATGTCTGTCTGATTTCCCTCAGTGTAGCACCCTCTGCGTCCACCCGTGTTGTCACAGATGGCTGTCGCCTTTTTTATGGGTGAGTCACAGTCCGCTGTGGGGACGCACCGCTGCTTTCAGTCATCCGTCGCAGGGCACTTAGGCAGCTTCCACAGCTACTGTAAACAGTGCTGCAGTGCACAGAGGGGCCATGTATCTTTTCAAAATAGCGTTTTGTGTGTCTTCATATTAATACCCAGAACTGAAATTGCTGAGTTATATGGTACTCACCTTTTTAATTTTTTGAGAAACCTGCACACTGTGTTCCATCATTGTTGCAGATTATCATCTATGATCCCACCAAGCACACGAGGGTCCCCTTTATCCAAGCCCTGGCCAATACTCATTGTTTCTGGTTTGTTTGGTTTGGTTTGCTTTTGATTTACAGATAATAGTCATTTCAACAGGTATGAGATAATATTTTATTGTGGTTTGTTTTGTAGAGTGACCTTAACTCTTTACCTGTTAATACGATGTCAATATTTTCTCTCAGCCCATCACTTACTACACAGCAGTCATGCTAGTCCTCACACCATGCAGAATTAAATATTTACATAACAGAATATGTCAATAATTTCCTTCATGTGGCCCCTGTGATTTCTTTGTTGTATTTGTATTTCATATGCTTTGCTTATAAAAGTCCCAGCTTTAGGTTTAGAAATACTGTTCTAAGCTTTATTTTAATCCATTTAGGTGCTGAAACATTTAAATCATTAAACCACCTACAATTCTGTGTATGTCATGAGGTAAGGATTTAACTATATTTTCTTATAAATTGGCAGCAACTGCTTCACACCACTTGCTGAAGGCCCCTTAATGTTTATTTTTATTACCGGTGTGATTGCATTGCTGCTGCATCCTCTCCTACCAGCTTCTTATTCCTAAAGATGTAGCTCAATTTCCATCTCAAGTATAGAACCTCCCTGACCATCAGAGACAAAATGACTCCTGTAATGCCGAAGTCATTTTACCACAGATTTTCAAATTAATTACTTAAAATTACTTATCAGCAATAAGTTAAACTTGATTCACGGAAACACATAAAGATCTCTCTGCATCTAAAGACTTTCTTTTTTTTTTTTATGTAGAAACCTTTACATAAATACCCTTTAAATAGAGGAATCAGACCATCTTTCAGGCCATCCCTCCAGGTGCCTTAGAAGACTAGTTGTTTTATAAACTATGATATTGCTGAGGAAACAAAGGGGGGAAAAATTCCTCTGGGATTGGTTTTAACAGTTATTGCTCTGAGTTTATTTTTTAAGTGAAATTTTTAACATTATTGATGGCTTTTATTTACCTATAAATGTTTTCTGAACTGAGATTTTAGGTTCTTATCATTTTTATTCATACGCAGAATACAGTCCAAAATTAAGTTTAAAGACGTTATAGTCACCATTTTAAGCAACACCCCCCCTCCAAGATCCCCCCGCGTGACACAGAGGACTCACGTGGAGGCCTTCGGTGAAGCTCTCCTGAGAACAGAGGCAGCGGTAGGGCTGGCTAGAGGTGTCGCAGTAGGCAGCGTGGCCGGAGCACTGGCACCTGTGAAGGGGAACATCTGTCAGCTCGTGAGAAACGCCAGCTCAACTGCTAGCGTACGGAAGGCCCTGTGTATACAGCCACGGGGTGAACTCGACCAGGGAGGTGAATATGTTAATACAAAAATCAATTTCTCTTTAATCATGTGGTTATGCATTGAAAATTTTTAATGAATCCTGAACTATCGAAGGGAGTGTCATCAATATCCAAACCACACAGGCGGTGAAGGAAGCCTCCCTGGGCTGTTTACACTTGTATCAACCATGTGGAAAGCTTGCCAAGAGAGAAGACATTTCATAAAACTATTCAAAACTTACAGTTTAAGGTGATAAAGTTTGGAATAAACCACAAGTTGAAGTTAACAGACTTGCATTAGTTTTGTTCTTCTTTCCCAAAATTAGATGGCGATTATTTAATAGCAGCATTTTTGCATCACGCTAATACTTAACAAATACGGCTTATCGGTCAGTGCTCTGGTCCACCTGAAAGGGTGCCCTTTCTCTATAGGACACGCCGTTCTTCTCGTATGACCCGACTCTAAATGCCATCCGCTTGGGTACCGTTCCCACGCCAGAGAGGATGCTGCCTGGGACGTCTCCTGCTGTCCGTCTAGTAAGTATTGTGAGCCTACTTTTCCATTAGGGTCAGATATTTATAAACTACTCAAGGCATATTAGATTTTTCCTCCAAAGGAAAACAAATATTCTTTATGAAATTGTGAGCTCAGGGAGACTAAGCCCAGTCCTTACAGACTAGCTGGTAGGTACTGCCAATTGTAACTAAAACTCAAGTTCCTTCTCTTTGTTTTCAAGAAAACTTGACAATCACATTCCAGAACAAGCTGATCAAAATATTTCATAAATTGTTTTTCTAAGTCAATTATTTTTCAGTCCAGTCCAAGTTATAATAACTTCTAAATGCCACAGCTTTAAAAATTGATTCTGTAGTGTGACCTTATAAACAGAAAAGATTCACAAATCTCCCTCCAAAATCTTCGCGGAGGAAGTCATTTCAATACCCGAAGCCTGAAATCTGGTTTGCTCTGAAATCTTAGCTAATGTAGTTTTAAATAAGTAAGATAAGAGTCTTGAAAACCGAATCCACAGTGGAGAGCACACTGCAATCGAAACCCTACCTGCCAGTGACGGTGACCTCGCTGAGCGCGTAGTATCGGCGTCCAGGGCTGACGGGAGGCTGTGCTGCGTGGTGCTGTCCACGGAAATGAAGCCGTATTTGTGTGGCCTTTACAAACTCTTGAAGAGATGGGGTGTTATAGAAATCAGTGTATCCGGGACGGCGGCTTGGTCCAGGTGTTAGGATGCTGAATGTGATGTTACCATGGGGATGTGAAGTAAAACTGTTGATGAGAGAAATTCGAAATCACGGAAAGCTACGTATTATTTGTGACAAATCAGAACACCAGATTCGTAACAGTTTAAAACTGTCATTCTGGAAAAAAAATAGTCCATACATTTTGTATGCAAACAATATAGGATCATCACAGGAAAAATATTGTAAGACACTTCCTTGAGGATATAATAAAAGTCCACTAACGTAAGTAACTTACTAAGCAATCTGCAAGTCGCATTCTAAGCACAGATGGGACTAGAAACAGAGATGCAGGGGTGTCCAACCCGCGGCCCCGGGGCCGCATGAGGCCCAGGATGGCTATGATTGTCGTCCAACACAAAATCGTGGATTTACTTAAAGCTTGCTTTGCTCATCAGTTTTCATTAATGTTTGTATACTTACTCTGTGGCCCAAGACAACTCTTCTATTTCTAGTGTGGCCCAGGAACGCGGAAAGGTGGGACACCCCTGCCTTCGCAGAAACATTAAACATAACTGAAATCTCAATTGAGGGGGAAACCTGCCTTAAGAGAGTTGGTGGTACAGGGAAGCCTCTACTAGCCTGGCAAGTTAGTTTCCCTTTGGGTTATTACTATCCCATAGCCAATTAAAATTTAACTCCTAAGTGCCTTCAAAGATAATCATTTCAGAAACATTCCTACTTGGAAAGCTGAAGACAGTTGACAGAATCAGAATTTTCCAAATCTCCATTGTCTGCCATTCCAAATACACTGCAATTTCTAGCAAAATACTGCCAGTCTTCCCAATCTAAGCTGTCTTCTTTCTTCCTCTGAATCCGTACAGCTGTTGGCTGGGGACTAAAGAACTGAATGATGATATAAAACACCTGAAAATAAATGTTAATTCTTGTCATTGAAGTTTTAAGTTTAACCCCTCAGTATAAATCTGAATCCATAGAACTGTTGGATTCAGGTATTTATTAGACATCCAGAAATGGCATAGCCCCATAGTAAAAGCAACACAGCGTATCATTACGTAGCTGTGTGTCTTCTCAAATATCTTATAAGTTAAAGTGGAAGTCAATATTAAGTTTGATGTAAAGACATGAAAAAAATAACACTACTTTCATGAAATAATTGTCATACGTTCCTTTTAAGTAGTTATTTAAAATAAGCACCTGTTTTTATTAATTTCTGTTATTTAATATTACAATGGATGTTTCACATGTAATTTTGATACAAATCTCTAAAAAAAAATAGGCCCTGAATACTTTCTTTTTAGATATTTTTATTCCACATATTACACTATACTACTTCAGTGAGGTAATTTTCAAATGTCTAGTTCAATTTTTACTTTGCAGGAGGTTGAACTGTGTCCCCAAATAGATGTCTACGTTCTAAGCCCTGGTACCTGTGAATGTGACCTTATTTGGAAAAAGGGCCTTTGAAGATGTAATTGAGAATCTCAATGTGAGATCCTTCTGGATACAGGACGGTCCCCAGAGGAAGAGGAGGAAGAACAGGCAGAGAGACCAGGAAGGTGGCCTCGGGACACGAAGGCAGAGCCTGGAGTGAAGCCGCTGTGGACCAAGGGACCCCCAGAAGCTGGGAGGGGTAGGGGGTCGTCTCCCTCCAGCCCTGGGAGGGAGGGCGGCCCTGCCGACACCTTGATTCCACCCTCCTGATCTTCAGACCCGTGAGAGATCAAAGTTCTCCCGTTTTAAGCCATGACATCTGTGGTCACTTGTTGCGATACCCACAGGAAGCCAGCGCACACCAAAATGACTCAAATTACCTGATATTGTCCATTTTCGAGATCTATGGAAATAGTCACTCCCTGATGAAGCTGGGTCATGTCTGTAAACACACGTGAAACCCACGCCGTGCCGACGTCATTGTCATTGACAAAGGAAAGCGGGTGGGCTCTGGGGTTCAGCCGCAGCACCCTGCTGCCGGCCGTGTCCGCCACGCCATTGGGCACGCAGTACCGCTGCTGCACAGGGTGGACGCGGGGGTGGCTGCCGGGGCAGCGGCACTGGGGCTGCACGTGCAGGCGGGGCAGGTCTCCGGAAAAGACGGCCAGGATCTCTCTGCGGGGGTCGAGGGGCAGGCGGTGAGGGCAAGCGGCGCCCCAGGGACAGAACACCCGCGAGTTGTCCCAGGTGAATATCACTATTGCCGTGTTTCCATTAGTCTCTAGTTAGCTTTCATAGTTTTCTTCCACAGAACATAAAACCAAATTTATTCCTGGCCCCATAAACATATATGCTTATACTCATAAAATAAAACATGCTCATTTTATAAAAAGCATTCAATTCTTCAGTATCTGCATTTTATATCACGAAGCATGCACAATCCCTTGTCTGGTTAGCAACATATTTATTTAAATAACGTACTATCTTACGATGTCTATTTGTAATGAAAAGTAAGGTAATGTTCACTTAGGCTGTTAGGCTGACCACCGCAAGCGAGCAGTAATATGATGATGAGTTATCGGTGGGGTCTCCAGTGCATCCACAGGAAGGAAGAAACGAGGATGAGTCTATCCGCTGCTGTTCTAGGTGAAGGGCCCGGAGCCAGGCCCATTTTTCAGTGGCTTCCTGTGACTCATCACGACAGGCTCTGGCACCCGAGAATGCTTTGGAGGCTCAGATCGGATGGCAGAGCTGCCAACAGCCACAGCAGAATGCCAATTCCAGGCAGATATATTCCATTTTTCCATTAAGGGCACTATACCTGCTCTCGATCAGGATTAGCCATCCCCCGCTCTCCCGCGCAGGTCTTCCCAGACACTCCGGGTAGGCCGGCACCAGCACCGCAGGCCTGGCCGGGGACACCAGACTCCTCTCAGGCGTCCCGCGGGGGAGCGCAGAGGCACGCGGCCAGGCCATCTACTGAGTCACGTGAAGCTGCACTTTCTTTAAATCTAACTGATATTTTCCAATTGACACCAGGTTCTAAATGGCACTGGAAGTGACCATTCAGTGAAGTCTTTGTCCCCCAGGATGAACTCTGTTCCCCCCAAATCCTATAACTCTTCCAAATATGTACAAGGATGATTAAGGAGCTGTGAGGCCCTTGGCGGTACACCTCCCCAGCAACGGTGTCCAGCACCCTTTACTCAGGCATCTCTCGATATATAAACTAATAAAAAATCTTTACATGGCTAATGTACATACCACTGAGTGTAACGCCTCAAGAGAAATGCTTCTCTAATGTACAAGAACTTGTCCCGTCATTACGACATTCACCATGCTCATCTATATCTCCCTTAAAGAAATATACATAAACATTCTTCTCTTTTTGTCTTTAATAGAAGTAAATAAGATCAACTCGCCCATACAACCATATACTCATATCATCAAATCATAATTCAGAAAAGAAATCTGAGAGCATGGAAGCAGGATGTCACTTGAATCTTTTTCTGAATGAAAAGGAAGTCTACAGGCCTTTAACGAATTCCTAAGAGTTCCCACCATTCTCAAAATGAGGAAATACTTCCTTAAAGCTAGTCCAAATCTAAATAATTATCTGTTCACTGGGAAAAGAACTATATAACAATACTTCAAGCTATTCATTTTTTGCCTCTAATTCTAATATACCGATTTCTTGAGACTTTCACATATATCAAAATAATTAATCATTTTCATTTTTCTACATTCTCTAGTACTTATAAATTCAACAAAGCAATTGTGAAAGACAGAGATATAGCAGTTTAAGTATCAGAAATTACTTCATATAGAACATTTAAACAAATGCATCCCAAATCTATAATACAACTTTGTCAAAAATAGATTTTTCTAGGAAGAAATCCTTTGTAAAGAATTTGAACAATTTCCTATTATGAGGAGTTACGCAATGGAGTACCACTAGTGAATAACATCCATAGACTAAGCCAAAGCAAACACTGTAAACATTAACTAGGTGATGGTTGCCAAATGTTGTAGAGATGAAAAATGCTATTGTCTTCATGCTACTCTTATTGAAGTAAATTCAGCATTTATCCTTACACTTCTCAAGCTTTACAATACCACATCTGCTCACCTGTTTGTAAGTGCCGCTTGGTATAAACGAAAATCTTGCATTCTTCCAACAAACTGCTCTAAACCTGCAAAACATACACATGCACATAATACGAGAAGTCTCAGGTTACCAAGCAGTGGCTGACAAATATTCAAGCCGCATTCCTTTAAAGCAGGAAATCCTTTAATCATGTACCTATCACAGACTTTTGAACTTCTTTGAGTCCAAATTGTATAGTCTGCTAATTCCACATGAATAACATTAATATTCCTACTTATCTCCACAGACATTGGAGGGCTTATGTCAAAGTGCCTACTACTGACCCAACTTGTGATCTCTCTCCAGAAGCCCCGCCCCAAGGCAGATTTCTCTCTAGTTTGTAACCCTATATGTGATGATCTAAGTGGCCCTACATTAACTGTCGTCTGTTTCCAGACACGTGCAATTTTCAGAGCACGTGCGTTGCTGAGAGGAAGAGTCCCCGCTCTCTTCTCTGTGTGTGCTCGCCAGGCTCCTGCGTGTCGGCATGGGCCCCCTCCAAACGGAGAGGAAGGCCTGGGCTAGAAAGTCCCCGATAGATGAGGGCACACTGCAAACCTCCTCCTCGTGAGTCCGAATCATTCGCATGCCAAAGGCGCCCCAGCACAATCTCAAAGCCCCATCGCCTTGTGACAATTCTCCTAAGACAAGCCAGGTTCCAAGTGCAGTCTGCGCTGTTAGGTGACCTTTCAAGGTGTAGGCAGCTATCAACCTCAAACCACAATACCATTTTATTAATTCCTTCAGCAAATATTTTTTCAGGTTTACGAACAGATTCAGTCCAGGAGACCAGGAAGGGAAAGAGGTTAGACAACTACCACCTCTCTGCTTTTTGTCATGTTGTGGATAATGAGAAAAACTTGGAAACAGTAAAATTCTAGCTAGAGTTTGGATCATGGGGACCCAGGATGGGAGGTGATGTAATAATATATAATGCTAATTCAATAACTGGGTGGTTTTTTCTAAAAAAATTAAATTTAGAACAATGACCAATTCACCAAATGAGTATTTCTTCAAAATGTGTTTGTTCTGTAACTGTTCCATGGTTTACTCTGCCTTAGTAATCGAGAGCGTTTGATCTCCCTTTGCGGCAGCTCCTTGTGGTGCCGGGAGGGAAAGCCAGGTCAGAGAGAGGGTCTGTCTGCTGAATAAAAGATGCAGAGCCAACCGAGCGCCCAGGAGTCTGACGCTGCTCTCAGGGGCGGGAGGGGTCAGTGGGTGAAGCCGGGTGAGACGAAGGGGCATCAAAAGAGCGAGTCTGTGTGTGAGTCGGTGCGCGCGCGTGTGTACGTACACTTAGATTATACTTCTGTGTGTCTACTGAAGGGTATATGTAAGAAGATAACCAAGAATATTTTCCATATGAATACTTCTTCATGAGTGCAAATGTTTTTAATTGCTGGGTAGATATACCAGGGCGTCCTCGTCCTGCCTTTCCAGCTGGAGCCTCAGTCTTTCACGCCCCTCACACCCGAGCCCGGGGGAAGGGGCTCTCCATGGCCTCATGCTCGGACTTTCCTGGAGACGGAGCTCCCCCACCCCACCGGCCAGAAAGAGGCAATTCAGCCAGGTGCACACTAACTACTGCTTAACATGGTGTTATGAAGACAAAAAACGTTCAAACTGTGGAAGTGTTTAGATTTCCAATGCAAGCTGTCTTAAAATTTATAATTTGCTCAATACATAAGAACTAGTCATCCAGGCAAGCTGGTGGACTGACTTGGATCCAAGACCAAAAGCTAAGCAGTGGAGGCAGTGGGGTGGGGAAGGATGTATCTTTCTTGGAGATAAAAGACGGGAAGACCAGGTGTGAATACGGAGGTCGCTGGGGCTTGTGCGCTTTTGTTTGGGAAGCAGCGAAGGCAAACTGGGGAGAACTCCCTCTTCACAGTGGCTGTTTCTCTGGGCTAGGAGGTAACATTGTCTACCAAGGATGAAGCTGACTCCGCCTCGTGTTCCTTTCTGGCCCTTCCCCTCTAGCACCCCCCGACCCGCCGCCCAGCCCTGCAGGCTGCATTTGTGACGCCCTGCACCGCCCAGGCACTCTCACCCCTACCGTTCTCTACGTGACTTGCCTCTGCTCCTAACGTTCTCGGCCCGCACCTGCCCGTAACTTCTCGGCTTTGAAGTGTTCCCTGTGGGACACTTTTGGTGGCCCCCCCGGGACCCATAAGCTCCCGCAGCTCTGCGTACTTCTCGTTTGTACTATAACACCTGTTTACTTCTTGCTTATGAAGCATAAAACTATGTTAAATAAACTTCATTGGCAGGACACACGGAGTAGTAAAAGGTCGTATTTGCTGTTCTATCTTTAACTCATGGCCAAGTTCCTGACACACAGTAAGTTGTTCAAAAACTCTGATTAGGAAGGGAAGAGGAAGGTGGGAGGCAGGCAGGAACAAAGGTATTTACATCTGTAATGAACATCTAGAGATGCTGTTGAAAATGAGTGAGGAGGATAATCAGGGGAAAATTACAAGGATCTTCAAGAAGTCGTCTGAGGGCCACCTAAAATCAGAGTGTCAATTTGCATTGGTACAAGTTTACAAGCTAAGTGATCTCCCCAAACATGCTGAAAACCCAAGACAGATATGAAACGATTACAGGTATCCAGGGTTGAGGGTGTTCAGGCAGGATGCATCAAACAACGAGAAGAGGAAGGTAAGATTCCAGTAAGGGAGGAGGAGATGTAACACACCGCCCTAAGTAAGTGGACAAGAAAGTAAAACCAGGTGAGAGGTGACTGACCAGTAGGAAAGAGAGGAGTCAAGGTACTGGCCACCTGAGAAGTCAGAGAAGGGTATGGTGGAAGTAAGAAAGCAAGATGTATTAAACAATCATAGTATCCACGTTAGTGCTGGCGGGGGGACGCACCGCAGCTGAGCAACGCTGACCCTGCTATGGGCAACACTGACTAACGGAGCAACAGGAAGGTTCTCCCCACAATCAGAGCATGTTTTGCTGTCAAGAAATACCCTCTGAATTAAAACGACATTATTATAGGCTGAGCTGCGTTGAGGTCTTATTCCCTAGTACCTATGAACATGATGTTATTTGGAAATAGATATAATCCAGTTAAGGTGATGACAGTGGGTCCTAATCAAACATGAAGGGTGTCCTTGTAAGAAAAAGAAAGCGCTATAAGAGGGCACGCAGAGTCACACACCGAGAAGGACAGGGGACAAGAGATGCAGAGATTAGACTGATGCAGCTACAAACCAAGGAGCACTGGGGACTGACAGCCACCACCCAAAGTTAATCAGAGGCGAAGAAGGAATCTTTCCTGCAGGCTTCAAAGAGCACATGGCCCCACTAACACCTTGATTTCCAGAACTGGGAGACAATACATTTGGGTTACAAGCCCCCCAGTGTGTGGTACCTTGTGACCAAGGCCCAGGAACCTAATATAGTCATCATTTCCTACTTCTCTTAACATCAAACAGTTATATAAATTTTATAACATGTATTCTGTGTTACCCAATTTGTTTTCTCAGTGTAAAAGCTCTCTAAAATGTTTTATATAGAACCTCTAAAAATGTTTTCTCTCAAAGAACCAGAAAGCACAGCTCATGACCAGTAAAAAATCATCACGTGACTTTGAAAGACCTTCTATAACTAAAAGACAGCAAACGTCATGAACCATGTGGATTTTGCCAAAGCCCGAAGCATGGCTTTAAATTGCCAGAGTGGCTTCATTCTTTAATGCATTCATTCATTCAACAAATATTTATTAGGAGCCTATTTTGTATGCTAGGCATTTCCGTAAGTTCCAGAGATATACCAGTTAAGAAAACAGGCACAGAAACCTAAACAAACGAACCAAAAACCCACTTACTTGATGGAGCCTGCACTCATGCAGCTAGATGAACATAATAAATGACTGCTCTATACAGTATACTGGAACACAACACACACTCTAAGAACGGAGGATTTACAGCAGTTTGGACAGCGTGGCTGGTTCTAATTTGGGTGGCACGCTCGAGAGGGGCCGTGCTGGGAATGCGGTGCTGACCGGGGAGAGCGGGCGAACTGGGTGTGTATCCAGAGCACAACATTCCGGATACCAGCTGGTCTGTGAGGCCATCCAGGTGCAAGTTGGTGGTAGTCAGGCCAGAGTGCAGAAATAGAGGCATGTACTTTAATGCTCATAAATTAGAACTTCCTATATTTTAATAATACTTCAAGGGAAACATGGCTGTGGAGGAATAATGAAGCCTATGTTATCATCGACAAAAGGAAGGTGCTCGGTTTGATGACCTTTTGAGTCATTGAAGTTTTAAATTTTGGAGTCTATACATCTTCTACCACAGAATGTACATCTGAAGAAATTTCCAAAAAAAAAGTTAGAAAAAATTCTCTAAAGACATAGAGTTAATAATGTAAATCATCCATTCTAAATAAAAGGATTTCAATTTGGTGGGGATAATATCAAAATATTTCAAGGGCAAAGTCATGAATAAATTTACTCATTCCTTTGCTAGTTGCCAATTTTTTAACAACAGATATTCATTGGAATAAACATTTCATAAAGAGATTCTTCTTTGGAAAAATATTCATATGGCAATGACAGGTCTAAATTACATAAATTGATCAAGGAAATAGACATGACTCATACCAGAAAGACCTCATAGTTGTCTAGTCAGAAAATTGATAGGTAATGACCGGAAAGAAACAGTGCATCCATGTTACGGCTGGTAGCATGACAAAATAAGTTAAATGGGAAAACTGTTGAATAAATTTGACAAACCTTTAGCTAGAATGACCAAGAAAAGAGGGAAGACTCAATTACTAAAATCAGAAACAGAAGAATAAATATTGCAATTGACCTTACAGGCATGACAACATTATAAGGCAATCCTATGAACAACTATAACCTTGAAAAAATGGACAAGTTCCTAGAAAGACACAAATTTCTGAAACTGACTGAAAGAGAAATAAACAATCTTAGTAGAGTTATAACAGGTAAAGAGATTACACTAGTAATACAAACTTTTTCCACAAAGAAAATCCAGGACCAGATGCCTTCCCTGGTGAATTCTTTTAAAC